ACAGATTCAGAATTTGTTATGAAGACGTCACAAATGTTCCTGATATATAATACAAAAAGTTGCCTGTTCCCTAAATACCTATACAGAAACAGCTCAAAATGTGTATGTTGTTTGTGAATCAAGGAGAAGAACCTTTAACTGTTTACAACCCATTAAAAAATATTAATATACTCACCTGAAATCTACCATTTTTAAAATAAAAAATAAAAGGTATCAGAAATAAGGGGAAGCATTCAAAACATTATGCAAATGAAAGCGTGTATCATTAACTTACACAGTATTAAAGAGCTGTAATCAATTTCGAAACTACAGCTAGAGGTATATACACATAATCCATCTATACCATATTAAAAACCACTTACCTGCAACATACTGACAATCTCAACTTTGTTGAAGAAAATAAAGGAAGTGAGGGTAGAAAGAAAATTCTCTTCAAAAACAGATGGTGTCGGCAAGATGATGTCCTGAATATACTGTACCCTGTAAGTCTGGTGGATTTTTTGCCTGAGTTCAGAGTCTGTTATAGGAATAACCTCCTTAAATTTTGCTGTTTTGGTCAAGAACTCCCTGTGCCGTTTTGGCTGAGCCAAAGAAGGATCATACTCAAGGCATCCAACAACATCCATAATACACTCATCAGAAAACATCACCTCAAACAGAGTTGCTTTGTTGAGGAACAAAATTCCTCTAATAATTTCATACAAATGATGTAAGCCTTCGGTGTTCTCTAAATTCTCGCAGACTTGGAAAAGCTGTAATAGTTTTTTAATATAGCCTTCATTCTCCAAGGCCAGCGCTAGCTTTTCTCTACGGATGGGTGAGGAGAGAACAGAGGTAACTAGGTCAGCAATCTCTTCAAGTTTGTTGAGTTCACAAGTAGGAAGGTCGATCAAAGGACTCGTTTCAGGCATTTCTTCTATGTGTTCCTCTTCTGACTCAATAAGGTCCTGTGTGACTTCCACCGAAGGATCCTTACCTTGAACCTAAGAAAAGAGCACGCACAGTTACTGCCTCATCCCAAAACATACATAAAAATAATCAAGTCAATAACTGACATAACATGCGCGTAAGCACTTTTATACCTTCATTTGCCTGGAAAATGTCTAGCTGTGCAGAGGAGTAAGTTTGCTGCCTCTAAATTCTACAAAGTCACCATCATTATCCTCAATAGCACATCCGTCAAAAAATCAAATCAAACAAAACCAAACCCTAACAGATTGCATCTGTGCAATCAAGAAGTCTGAAGCACCTTGGAGACAAGCACAAAACCTAAAAAGAAAAGAAGGGCGGAACAAAACCTTCTTTCAGTGTCTCAAACAGAAGGGTACGAAGCCTTAAACTCATCGTAAGAGCCCACAGCTATACCAACATTAAGTGAAACATAACAAAAAGGCCAAGAACAAAGGCAGGAAAATGTCACGAATACCAAAACTGAACAGGAAAAGAGGGAAGCAATTGTGTCCCGCTCCACGCTTTCCTTCCACTTTGCCCCTCTAAATCCTTTCCCCAGCCTTCTCATACATCGTATACTTTTCATTCCCCTCACTGATCCAGTTCTAGAATTCGTAACCTCCTCTTGTTAACTCCCTCACAAAGGATCACATGTTACACAGGAGTCTCAAAGGACGAAGCGGGAAGAGGTTTGGAGTCTGATGAAAGGCTAACAGTTTACACTATCTGATCACACGAAGACCTACCTCTCAGACTGGTCATCGGCACAGCCCCAATTTAAAACCAATTTAAAACCTGCACTGTTTATTAGACACGTATACTTGCAGTTACTAGGATCGGTTCCTTTCAACAACAGTACTTCAGAACTGGCTGAGAAGACATTACACCTCAAAACACGCTAAGATTAAGAATGCATCTAAATTGCCTAGTTTATTCAAAGGAAACTGCTAGGAAATCCGAGTTCTATCTTTCTTTAGTTAACAGCTTCACATTGCATCATTTCAAAATCTGAGAAGGTTATGATAAATTCCAACATGAAAGCCCAGGCTTCTTCTTTTAAGTACACACAGGTGCAACTCCACTGACTTGTTATTTCCAGAGTTGAAAGTATAAAATCTAAACTGTTTCATAATAAAACAATTAAGATCAAAATATCCGTAAGACACAGATATTCAATAAGACTTAGGTCTTGATGAAAAAAATATCACTGATATTTTTGAGCTCATACAGCAATGCCGCCTCTTTGTCTCTCAAATATCTAGCTCCTTATGCATCACAACACATTTTCAGTTCCACCGCACTCCAACAAGGCAGATTCCTAAGGCCGCCTGGGAGAAGGACAATTAAAACGTGGTATTCTGGCATTCCCCTTTTTAATAAAAACAAACAAAAAATCCCTAAAATGCCCAGCACCTGAGTTTCATCATTACATTGATCTTTCAAAAGCGTGAAATTTAATTATGAAGACAACAACTAGTGTTCTAAATAGTGGCAACTTAAGATCTTACACAGAAAAGCCACAGAAAACAATGACAAGTATGTGCTTATTCTTCAAGGAGGTTTAAAAGTTACAGCATAAATACATTAAGTCACAAAAGACACTAAAATATCTGGAAGAAACAGAATATTTAAAGTTAACTGTACCTGGCAGATTTTTTCCCAAATTTCATCACAGCCAGCTTTTTCTTGAAAACTCAGTGCTAAATCATAGTTTTCTGCTTCTGACCAAACAATCAGGGTGTCCTGTTCAAGACAAAAACAAAAAAATAGTTGTTTCTGAAACAGGTCTACATTGCATATTAATCTGTATTCCGTTAAGTCATATGTCTAAAGAGGAAATAATTTCAATTAAAGTTACACTTGTAAAAAAAGAACGTAAGACGCTAAAATATTAAATCACCTATTCTGCCATAAGGGACATCACCTTTCTTTTTTGCTATTTTATGACCACACCTTACATATTATATTTAAATATACTTTTTTTCATATCCAAAACACTTATAATGGCATTTTTCTGCAACACACTTCTGAGCCAACAGTCTTGAAAAGGGAATGCACACATTGTAGGAGAGTAAGAAAACCTGCAATATAACAATTTAAGTCGTTTCATATTTAATAAAGTAGACACAAAAACCCAAGATTCCAGTGTTTCCTCCTCAGAAAGTGTTTAATACAGCCCTGGCAACGTAAGAAATAATGCCTAACTAATATTAAAATATTCTTTTCTGAATTAAAAGACATACAAGCCAGAATAATATAAAACTCCTAAGTTCTTACTAAAGTTACAAACATCTTACCAACAGGTATTTTCATTTGAGCAAGGTTTTTTTTTTTTTCTGTTACTATTGCCTCTATCAATTCAATTTGCATACTCGGACAGTGTATTGGAAGATCCGCTGGAATTTCTGAATAGACTAAAAAGGTTTTTTTATGAGGTGTTATTAGGACACTTGCTGCTGTACTGTAAGGAATGTAAAGCCGTGCTTCGACATTCAAATATATAGTTCAGCATCCTACAGTAAACTCATCTTCATGTTAAAATGTTCAAACTGAACGGCCCTCTGCTCACTTTGCAGTACATTTGATGAGCTCCAGCAAAACGGTTCAACATTCCGCCAAGTCTGTTGACTTCCTGAACTGTTACCGCACCTTTTTTTTTTTTTTTTAAACACCAGCAAGCCCTTGCTTAACAGTCAATAAGGTAATTTAGTTCCCACATTTACAAAGGTCAATATTCACCGCACAACTTATCAAGGCTTGTGGGACTTTACCTTATGCATCACTTTTACCGTAAACAAAATATTCAAAGTGAGATCTTTAAGCTTAGCAACCAAACCCAAACAAATACCCGACTGGCTTACAGATACCTGATACACCTTAGGAAACTTCAGGGGCAACAAGAAACAGACGCTGCCATTGCCCCCTCACATCTTTACCCCAAAAGTACTTCTTGGTTCCCTTTGTGTACCAAATGACAGGAAACGATGAAGCTGATTGATTACTATCTGTAAGGTGTTCGCTTGGCTAAAAGGCCAATCCATGACATGGTATCACACAACTACCTGGTCACCGTCCTTCATGTATCCGCCAAAGAGAGAGGGATAAAAACATAATTAATATCAAGTGATCATTGCTACTCTTGAACCTACTGGCAGTCAGCATTCCTTAATTGTTTTCGATCAGGTTAGTTTAGATGGTTTAAACAGACCTTTGTTAACGCAGTTACCTGGGCTTGCACAGGTCAGGGAGCACTCATAAGAATTTCCACTGGCAGATGTGAGGGGACTAATGTTTGGGACAGGACTGCTGACAAGCAGCTGGCATGGGACAGTAGGTAAACTCTTCCATCAGCACAGCTATCTGAAAACCACACATCTGTCTCAACAAACACAACTTAACAGCTGCTTCTATTATCACTCTGCAACGTGAATGAAAATCAGCATCGCTGATACGGCATTAATTCTTCAGTTCCTTTCTACAGTAATCTTAATCTCTCAATATCCGTATGTAGTTGTGTGTTTTGAGGGTTTTGTCTTTGCTTTTTTTCCTTTAAAAAAAAAAAGTTTAGCATAACATCTTTTTCTTACAGCAACACTGGTGACAAATGCCTACCAATAGATCAGCTTCCTTCTCCCAAAACATAATCACAGGCCACACTAAAAACAACAGCATTTGCACAAGCTCCGCTTTCCCCCCCCCCCCCCCCCTCCTCTTTTTTTTCTATACATTTCAATAAAACA